CCGCCGGGCGCTGGGGCGTCTGGTAGCCGGGGAGGGCTCCGGCAGCTGCGGGGGCCGAGCTGGGCCCATCGTGTGCCCGTGGGCACGTTCTTTGGAGGTGTTGCCTGTCCTGAGCGGGCACAATGCAAACAATAGACGTGGGGGTGGTGTCATCTGCCGCAGTCAGCTCGCGGCGGCGTTAAGATCGCAATAATACGCATTTTGTTTATTTATTCTAAGTATTGCTACAAAACGGAGTAGCTAACAGGTCCTGGTTCTTTTATAACACGGGCCTTGGGTGGTGGCTTGCAGCTATCCCAGTGACCCTTTCAGCATCAGATTGGTGTAACTCCGTAGCGTCAGCTCACAGCATGGTCTGAATGCTGCTGCGATGAGAGGAGGGAGAGCGTTGGTTGCAAATTCCTGACTTAATTTCCTTCTTGCTCGTTTCAGGACTTCCCTATTCTGTGCCAGACATGTCTTGGAGAAAACCCGTATATTCGAATGGTACGTGCCCATTTGATACAGTCCCTGCCTCTGCGTTGGCCCTGGAATGGCTGGGTTTTGGTTTAAAATAAGCTTGGCTACAGGAGGAGATGCTGGGGGGCATTGTGTGTGCACTCCTAATTAGTTGGTTCTGCACAACAGGATTTGGTTCTGACCATTGTTGGTATGTGATGTCATGGCATTAGGAATGTGATTTAAAGAGTAAATCAATCAAAAAGGAGAAGATGACGTAGGCCAGAAATAGAGTGCAGGAAATACTAGAAAACAGCTTTGGTACTGGTAAATCCTGCAACGTGGAGAGCGGTGACCTGCTGAAATATTACATGGCTTAGCACAGTTTCTAAAATGTGGAGATTACGTACCTGTAAAAATAAGTTTAAAACGTGGTATGAAGTCAGGCTGATGGTAATGACAATTCCTGTTTGTTTGCCTCCGTGTGCTCCGGGCAGGGCGAGTCAGTCCCTTCTGTGTTGCTCTTCCCTGTGCTCAGGCCGGTTGTGTGTGACCCTCGTTATGTCACCTTCCCTTTGCATTTCTGTTCCACCAGGTTTGCTGACAGACATTATAATGGGGTGAAACGTAACCCTACTGTCAATATAGATATTTCAAAAGCAGTTTATTTTAGAATCACAGAATCGTAGGATGGTTTGGGTTGGAAGGGACCTTAAAGCCCATCTAGTTCCAACCCCCTGCCATGGGCAGGGACACCTTCCACTAGACCAGGTTGCTCCAAGCCTCATCCAGCCTGGCCTTGGACACTTCCAGGGATGGGGCATCCACAGCTTCTCTGGGCAACCTGTCCCAGTGCCTCCCCACCCTCTCCATGAAGAACTTCTTCCTGATATCCAATCTAAACCTCCCCACTTTGAATTTAAACCCATTCCCCCTTGTCCTGTCACTACAGGCCCTTGTGAAAAGCCCCCCCCAGCTTCCTTGTAGCCCCTTCAGGTACTGGAAGGGGCTATAAGGTCTCCCCGGAGCCTCCTCTTCTCCAGGCTGAACAAGCCCAACTCTCGCAGCCTTTCGTCATAGCAGAGGTGCTCCAGCCCTCTGAGCATCTTTGTGGCCTCCTCTGGACTCGCTCCACCCGGTCTATATCCTTCTGATATTGGGGGTTCCACAGCTGGACGCAGCACTCCAGGTAGGGTCTCACAAGAGCAGAGTACAGGGGCATTTTCATGGACTTCCTTCACGTAACGATATCATCTTTGCTTAAAAATAGCTATTAATGTTCCTTTTCATTCTCACCTTTCCTTGGTACTTGAGGTGAGGCTTATAATACTGAGTTTTTAACTAATGTTTCTAAATCAAAAATGGATTGAGTGTTTTTTAGGATGGAGTTTTTTTTGTCCTGTTGACCTGCCAAGGTGTAAGCCCAAAACACAGGGGTGAGTGAGTCCAAATGCAGCATAATTAGGAAAAAACCCACTGTGCTATAACATCAATGATACATTTTATTTTGAATTAATGATTAATTTTATTGCATTTGATTATATTTCAGACGAAAGAAAAATATGGAAAAGAATGCAAGGTATGTCTGTTGTCTTTTGAAGAAAGAATGTCTAATTTGGCACACAGCTAAGAATAATAAATGTTAAAAAAGACTTTCAGAAAAGTGCTTATCAGGGTTATCAACCTAAAAAGTTTATGTAAGTGCATGGATGTTTAGGTCAGTCTGTTGTGCACTTTGTTAGACGAAGTCAGTTGGTCTCAAAGTAGTAAAACTACAGAAGACTCTTTGGGCAGGCGTGGGGTTTGCTCATCTTTCTCAGAATGGAGTTTTGTCAGTGTTGTGTTATACTTGAAGGTATTTCAGCTTTTGAAATGTTCTCGTATTTTCACGTGCAAGTTTGTTTTTACTCCTGAGTGGTGCATAAATGGCTGGAGTTCAGGTTGTGCTGTGACCAGGTGGCGATCTGCCTTGGCTGTCTTCAGAAATAAGCCACGTTTGTTTCGGAGAGAGCAAGAAGTATTTAGCCTTGTCTGGACCGAGGGAAATGAAAAGGGGGTTTTGCCCCTTTGTTGTTATCTGAGACACGGAGAAGGCATGTGTTGAAATCTTGCTTCCCGTCCTCAAAGTGGACGTGCAGCAGAAGCAGGTGCATCGTTCCATGGGATAAGAGAGAGGGCAGTAGTCGTCTGGACCAACAGTCTCATTGGGCTTGCCGCTCTGCTGATGGCTGATTTACAGATAATGGGTGATTATCTCTAATAGCTCTATGCTGGCATCTCCTGGAACGAGGAGATAACTTCTTTCCCTTTGAGTAGATCTGCTTTCAGCGTTTGGGTTACTGTAGTAACTCAAAAACCCAACAAAACTTTCTCCCGTCAACAAAAGGCACCAAATAGAACCAAATACTTGAGGTGTGAAGTTTGTTTGCCCGTGTCTTTGCACTGCGATGGTGAGGATGGACTTAGAGTTCTAAAGGATTAGGTGTGTTTGGATACAGGTGTCTGCTGTCTTTCAGATTTGTGCCAGGCCCTTCACAGTCTTCCGCTGGTGCCCGGGTGTTCGGATGCGCTTCAAGAAGACGGAAGTGTGTCAGACGTGCAGCAAGCTGAAGAACGTCTGTCAGACCTGTCTGCTTGACCTGGAATATGGTGGGTACTGAAAAGTGTGAACTAGGAGAAGCAGCCACTTGCCTCAGAAGTGAAAGCTGGGGACATGTCTTTACGTGTGTGCGTTGTTGTTGTGGCTGTCCCTGTACTGTCGTTGGGAAGAACAGGTCTTCTGAGGTGCAGGGGCAGCTTGGTGTGCCTGAGCAGTAGCTGAGTTATCTCTGGCTAAGGCAGCTTGCAATAACTTTCTGCTCTTGTGCTTCATACGGATTTGTTGGGGTGTTTTTTGTTTAATTCTAGGTTTGCCTATTCAAGTCCGGGATGCAGGACTCTCCCTTAAGGATGAAATGCCCAAGTCTGACGTCAATAAAGAATATTACACCCAGAACATGGAGCGAGAGGTGAGAAAATGTGCTTACAATCGCTCTCTGCATGTGTGGATGTGTACTGGGGAGGAATGACCCAGCGTATCGTAAAATCCCATGCTTGCTTTGATTCTGTGGCTTAGTTTTTAATGGTGATATATACGTGATTATTTGTGTGTCAAACTGCTGTTCAGATATCCAATTCTGACGGCACCAGACCAGTTGGTGCGCTGGGAAAAGCTACTTCTACCAGTGACATGCTGCTGAAGCTGGCTCGGACCACTCCTTACTATAAACGAAACCGTCCTCACATCTGCTCCTTCTGGGTAAAAGGAGAGTGCAAGAGAGGAGAAGAGTGTCCCTACAGGTACAGATACAGCTTAAGCGGTTCGTCTGTTCACCGCGGTCAGGTACCGCTCCCCTTAGGGTTTGACAACACCGGGGCAGTGTGCAGCTCGCAGCCAGTTGGCACGCAGCGACAGTGAATGAGCCTTTGTTGTGTCCTGCTCGTTTGTGAGGAATGAGCTGCGTGGTCTTGGAGTGTTTTGCCGGAGCAGTGACTGCAGCTCTTCTCTTGCACGGTTCATTTTTGCCCTTTGTGGCCTCAGTCCCCTCAATCTGAGATCTTTGTATTTGAACAAGAGGCCGTTTGACATCCAGCTCTTGCGTTGTGTAGTGTTGAATGCAGAGCTGTCAGAAGCACCATTCATTCAGAGCTCAGGCAGTCCGGTCTGCCACTGAAGTTCTTGGGGCTTTTTGTCCGGCCTTGGCATGTTTTATGTGAACAGGGATAAGCACATACGCGAGCGGAGGCGTTCCGGAGGGAAGGCAGTGGGTATAGTCACCTTAGTCTGGTGGAGGTGTGACTGGTGTTCTGAAACGCTTTGTCTGCTGGACCTTAGACACGAGAAACCGACAGATCCAGACGATCCTCTGGCTGATCAGAACATCAAAGATCGTTACTATGGAATTAATGATCCTGTGGCTGATAAACTTCTGAAACGAGCATCGACCATGCCTCGTCTAGACCCACCTGATGACAAGACTATTACTACACTCTATGTTGGAGGGCTTGGAGATACCATCACCGAATCGGATCTCAGGTGTGTTGGTCTGTCTTCCCGCAGAGGGTGGGGAGGCACTGGGACAGGTTGCCCAGAGAAGCTGTGGATGCCCCATCCCTGGAAGTGTTCCAGGCCAGGCTGGATGAGGCTTGGAGCAACCTGGTCTAGTGGAAGGTGTCCCTGCCCATGGCAGGGGGAGTGGAACTAGGTGATCTTTAAGATCCATTCCAACCCAAACCATTCCATGATTCTTTGGTGAATTTGTGTTGCCCTTGCCTGTGTATTTGATGCTGGGATTGCTGCTCCTGTGGAAGTGAGGAGATCTCTCTTGCAAGGGGTGGGAAAAAATAAGTCCTGTTTTCAGCTTTCTGCAGTGGGGATCTGGTTGGTGGGCAAGTGCAGAGGAGTGCCAGCTTGTTGGAGAACAGATCAACAGATGCATTTCAAATGCTTCGATTAAAATTTCTCTCTTTAAAGATGAGTCGTCCTCCTGAGCTGCAGGGGATATACTGCGTTATACTTTTTACAAGTCCCATAACCTCTCTAGCTCTGCTGAGAAAAGCTGCTGCAGAGTTTTTATCACTCCAGAACTGTACAAAGAGGCAAGAAACTTGATTTCTAATGCTTAGTCTGAACTGGGGGTGGAGAAGAGGAAGGATCTGAGCGTATCTATTTCAGCCCATGATGAGAGCCTACTCTGCTTCACACCCTATGGCTAGGAGGAGTGGAGGTTCATAATCAGTGTTTTTCCACCCCCCTAGAAATCACTTCTACCAGTTTGGGGAGATCCGGACGGTAACTGTGGTGCAGAGGCAACAGTGTGCCTTCATCCAGTTTGCCACCCGGCAGGCTGCGGAAGTGGCTGCCGAGAAATCCTTCAACAAACTCATTGTCAACGGCCGCAGGCTCAACGTCAAATGGGGAAGGTGAGTGCTGGGGCAGGAAGCCTTGAGGATTGTGCCACAGGGTTCCTCTCCGACTTCATGTGCAGGCTTGGTGGGCGGGATTGGATATTATGCTGGAGTAGATGCTGATTTGGGAAATAGCTGGGGTCCTCTTACATTTTGGTTTTCTTCCAGTGGGATCTGGGCTGGACATTACACAAATGGCACAAATTGTGCAAGGGGTTTCCTGGTTGAGCATTATGGGTGGGTTTCTCTCCTAGTTCTGCTTCTAGCCCGTCTCCTGTAAGCACTCTGTGCACTTTGTAGCGGCTGGCTCCGATGTTCTGTGAAATTTTTGTCTTTGGCCTGAAGCAGTGGGTCTGGATTAGATAATGTGAAACTACTGTGGTGTGAATACCTGCTCATCCTGCTTTTTCTCATCCTTGTTCTCAAACGTCTGTCTGGTTCTTAGGTCCCAGGCAGCAAGAGGAAAAGAAAAGGACAAGGAAGGTACTACAGAGTCTGGGATAAAGCTGGAGCCAGTTCCCGGACTTCCTGGAGGTAAGGGAGTTGGTGTAAGCTCTGAAAGACTTAATGCTGACCTGCTTCCGTGAGAGAGGCTGGTGTTAAACCTCTGAGAGCCGCAACAGAGCTCAGAACGCCTGAGGCACCAGTGAGTCCAGAGCAGTTAGTTACCATGGGTCTGCAGGGGATCCAGCTGGGATGGGAGCAGATCCAGCTGGGATGGGAGGCGAGCTCTGTCTAGAAGCAAACGAGTGGTGTAAAGAGAGTTCTGTGTGTGATGAGTGAAAAGTTAAAAGCTGAGTTAAAGTTCCTGTGCTCTGAGGTACTGGCAACCCACGCTCTTAGAGGCCTGGTTGATGTGTTCCTAAGGCACTGAGCGTTGTGTGATGGAAAAACCAAAGCTGGCTTTGGGTGAGGAAAACATGGTGGCATTCAGGAGTTTTCAGTGTGGTCCTGCTTCTCGCTCCAGTTCAGATGGGCAATAGCAGCAGCAGTTTGCCCTTGTGGAAGAACCGATTGTGCCTCCTCTCTGGAGACAGATACCTCTGCATGTCTTGACTGAGAGATTTTCCATAACCACGGTGTACTTTTCCTGTAGCTCTTCCCCCTCCTCCAGCCGCGGAAGAGGAAGCTTCTGCAAATTACTTCAACCTACCTCCCAGCGGCCCTCCAGCCGTGGTTAACATTGCCTTGCCACCTCCTCCTGGCATTGCTCCGCCACCACCTCCAGGTACTCGTGTTTCCCCTTCGAGCGGGGGCGCCTGACTTGGCGCTAGACCTTGCTGCGCTGCATGCCCTGAGTGGATTTTCCTCTTCCCTGCCTGTGTGTAAATGCCACGTTAACCTGAACTTCAGAGGGTAACTGCAGTTGGTGACTGCCGGCCTGTTTGGCTGTGTGTGTGCATCTGCCCAGAGACCCCCTTTCTGAGGGCTGTCAGACTCTCGTGGGTGTGTTTGCCGTGATCCACGGTTGGTTGGAAAGCGTTTAGATTGGCCTTACAGTCACCAGTCCCCCCCACCGGCTTTTATCTGCGAGTAAGGACGTGTGTTGAGTAAGGTGTGCCCCCAGCTGCGCTGGAAAGAAGGGGTTTGGGGATTTGAGGAATGGTGGGAGATGTGTGCCTTTTGAAGGCACAGCTGTTTTCTCTCAGCACTGCCTCTGCGTTGGTTGTTCTGTTGCTTTGTCTGAACTTCACACCCTGTTTTCTGCAGGTTTCGGCCCACACATGTTCCACGCCATGGGGCCCCCGCCTCCCTTCATGAGAGCCCCAGGCCCCATTCACTACCCGTCTCAAGATCCCCAGAGGATGGGCGCCCACGCGGGAAAGCACAGCAGCCCTTAGCACACCCCCCTACCCCCTCAGCCTTTAGGTGAATGTTATTTTCTAGTGACCACGGTAGGGCCGTATGTTGAGCTGTGGGTGAGCTCGAGAAGCCTTGTTTCCCTGCTTGCAGACGCCGGGCGAGCCAAGCTCTGTGTCTCCACTAGCTAATTGGGTCGTTGATACATCCC